CGAGCCGCCGGCCTGGGGGAGGGGGAGAGCGGCCGCCCCCCACACCCCGACCCCGCTGCGGGCGCAGCCGCCCCCGCGCCCCCACCTCGCATTCCTGCGGCGCGGGGCCCCCCGAGCATGGGCCGCATCCAGCCCTGGCCGCTCGCCAGCAGCCCTCTGAAGTCTCCCTGCACGCTGCCGGCAACAAAGCCCGGCCGGCCCCGCTCGGCGTCCCCCGCTTCGGCCCCCCCAGCCGGGAGCGGGCTGCACGCCCACCGCAGCCCCTCTCCCCGGCGCTGGGCCGGCCGGAGCCCCCGCTGCGCCCCCGAGGGCTGCGCGGATGAGGCCAGGATGGGCAGGAGCCCCCCAGGGATAAGTGGGGTAACAGCAGGAAGGACCCCCACCCGGGATGACCCCCCGGGACCGCCGAGCCCTTTTTCCACCCCCGGCGTTTTGGGCGAGGTGGGGGTTTCCTCCAGCCGCCCCCTCGCCGCCCGGCCCAGCTGCAGCACAGCTGGACCGAGGGATGGACGTCAGCCGAGTGGGGGCTGCGGGATGGGCCAGAAGCAGCACGGCCACGTCTCCAAGCATTCTCCGGGATGGGGACAGCCAGAAGAGTGAGTGCAGGAGGGTCCGGGAGCTCCTTACCTCCTGCTCATGTGGGAGGAAAAGGATACAGCTTGACGGCTCCCGCCTTGGTGCCGATGGCCATCACACGCAGGACGGGGTCGTAGGCCAGGGCGCTGGGCTGGCTGGGGAAGCCATGCTCCACCGTCTGCCATGGGGACAGGCAGGTCAGAGCGGCACCCCTCACCTCTGACACCCCCAAACCTTCCACAGCCCCCCGCAGCCCCACAGCTCCAGCCCTGCACCACTCTGAGCATCACCCCTGCGAGGGGGGACCACAAAGATGCTGCTCTGTCCCCCAGTGCCACCAAGGAGAGCCTTGGGCAGGGAGGACATCGCTCCTCATCCAAATGCCACCCAGCACCCCAAAACCCAGCCCAACAGCCACACCACGGACCGGGGTAGGTCTGACCTTGAACGAGCTGTCCCACTGCCCGCCAGCACTTTGGGGATGGGACTCCCCTGCCCTAAACCCCCGGGGTGAGGACACCCCAGGAGAGGTGAGCGGGACCCCCACTGCCACATCACCGGCCGTCCCCGATGCCGGGCGGCAGAACCAGGCGAGCGGGACCCGCCAGCGCCAGGGACGTCCCCGCCGGAGCCGCGTGTCGCCCGCGGGCACCTTCCCAAGGAAGTCCCGGCCGTCCGGCGTGCCCGGGCTCGCCGGCTGGGGAGGGGCTGCCCTGGCAGCGGGGGGACGCGGGGGGCACCCACCGCCCCGGCCCGCGGTGAGGGGACCGCAGGGTTCCCGAGGGCAGCTCGGCTGAGCAGCGACGGCGCGATCAGAAGATACGGAGGCCGCCGGAGCCAGACTGGCCGGATCCTGACCTGCTCCCTTTGTCTGGGGCATCCGAGAGGCGCAGCGGGGCGGCTTTCCGCACCCGCCGCTGTCACCCCAGCTCCTGCTCCCCTCCCAAGGGACAACTTCAGTAGCATGAAAACGTCCCCAGCCCATCCAAAGCATCCCGGCCCATCCAAGCGGGTCCCAACACGTCCAAGGGGCGAGGAAGTGGATGCTCGTGGGTCATGCTGAATCCCCCCGGGATGCACGCTGCGCTGGAGGAAGGAGCTGGGACAGCAACAGCACAGGGACACCAGGGTGATGCTTTAGGCCAGAAACTAACACGATGACACCGGCAAAGATTCCCCAAAAAGCGCTGTCCCAGTTCCCCAGCACTCCCAGTCCCAAAGGGGGACCCGGCTCAGCCCCCCACCCGCAGCCCCCGCAGCGGGGCCGCATCCGGCAGGCTGTGCCGGCCGGCCAAGGCGCGCTCCCGGCCAAATTACAGCAAATCCCAGGCAGATCTGGAGCTCGGGAGGAAAAACAACCATTAATGGGAGGCAGGTGGGCAGCCGGCAGCCCCAGAGGCGGGACGGACGGAGAGGGGCTCTCCTCAGTCTCCCCCCTGCACATCCCACTGGCACACACCCACACAACCACCCAAAACCAGAGGGGCTCTGGCTGGGCTGAGCCTTGCACCACAGCCGGACCCTCATCCGCGGCAGACTTGTGGGGCCAAGGCTGAGCTGGGCACTGGGAGGTGGCTCTGACCCCTCAGCAGACACCGCACAGCCCGGTCCCGCTGCGGCACAGCACGGGGGTCCCTGCCGTGCCATGGCCATCTGGCCATCGTCCCCACCATGAGTTGGGTAAGTACCCCACAGTGGTGCCAGGATGCTGCCCAATGATGACGGACACGGTTTGGGCTCCTCCAGGGGCCACTGCCGGTGGTCTCCGGCACCACAGCCAGGGCGGGAGGTTGGTCCCAATGGCGCGGCGCTGCCGGGACAAGGGGCACCAAGTTCCAGGTGGGCACCCGCTGGCACAGCCCGATGTCCCGAGAGAAGGGTCTGGCACCCCAGGGCTTGTGAGCTTGATGAACTTGGGGGTCTCTCCCATCCCAAACGAGGGGGGCAAGTGGGGAAATTCGGAGGGAGGAGGGGGATAAGCGCTGACCTCTGATATTCCCCCAGGCCCCCCAGAGACACATCTTTGGGGTGACAGGGAACCCCAAGGCCACGGGGTCATCACCACAGCCCTTCCTGCTGACACAGGAGGTCCAGCGCCCCAGTATTCCACCCCTGGGGAGACTGGGGTGAGAGGCTGAGCCCCACACGGGGGATGCAGCCAGGGATGCTCCAAGGCCAGACAGGGTGTGGGACCACGGGTCACCCCAAAACGCCCGACAGCGAGGCCTTGGGGAATCCACGGGACAGGGGGAGTGCGGGAACCGGGGCGTTCCAGGGAACCCCTCCCAAGAGGGGCTGGGGACAAGGGATGTCGCGCTGGTGAGGGGGTCTCATCCTGTCCCGGAGTGCGCCCTTCACCGCACGGGGAGGAGCGCAACCCCCGGGGCGCATCCCGCGCCCGTGACTCCCGATACCCACTCCCGGGGGTCTATCCTCCCGGGGCGGCCCAGCAGACTGTCCCGGGGTCCCCCGGCCAGGCAGCCCTGCCCTTTCTGCGTGCCCCTTCCCCGGGAACGGGGAGGTCCCGGTGCGCGGCTCCCCCGGGGGTTCCGCCGGTCCCGGGGGGCGGTGCCCCGCACGCCGCTCGCCTCCCCGCGGGCAGCATCCCGCCGGGGCACCAGAGCCCCGCGCCACCGGGGGGGCTGCCCGCACGCTGCACCCTGCCCGGCACCCCCGGTGCCTCCCGGTGGTCGCCGCCCCCCGGGATCCACCGCCGCGCCCCCCGCTCGCCCCAGGCGCACCTTGCTGAAGGCGAAGAGGTCGTGGCGGAGGCGGTCGCGGTGCGGGTCGGCACCCTGCCGCCGGAACCGAAACTTCATCATGGTTGGGCCGGCGGCGGTGGCGGCGGCGCGGTACCGGGCGGGGCGGGCGCGGCCGGCGGTCCCGGGGCCGGTCCCGGGGCGGCGGTGGCGGTGGCGGGGCCGGGGCGCGGCGCGGGGCGGGGCCGGCAGGGGGCGCGGTGCCGGTGCGGGGTCCCCGGTGCCGGTGCGGGGTCCCGGTGCGCGCGCCCGCCGAGCCCGGGCAGGCACCGCCGCGGCGGGGGGGGGGGGGG